AACTTTCGTTTTTTTTTTTATGTATCAGCCTTTCCGACTTTCATGTATGTGCATAGTGAAGTAATGGTTCAGAGAAAAAAAGTTTTAACTAAAATAAAACAAAAGTACTTTCCCTGTATAACTATACCCGTATAGTTTATCATAAATCATTGAACTCGTTTTATGGGTTATGATGACCATATTTCATATAACTGATATACAACGGCTCACTATTTTATCGTTATCGTATTGGATTTTTCTTTTGGTTTCCATAACATTTTTAGATAGTCTTAAAAATAAGACCAACAATTTTATTTTGATATAGTATTATAGTTTTTTTTATATTTCAAATAAATTATGTATTTGGTTTGATTAGTAATAATAATAAATAATAATTCATTAAAACCAACATTTTTATTAAAGTAAATCATTTTTTTTATTTATTATTTTGACAAGAAACTTTTTAGTAGGTAAGTAAATATAACCAAAATTACGTATGGTATATTATAGTATGTATAATATGTGAATTCGGAAATGTATTTACGTAACAGGTATTATTCACGATAAAAGAATATTGTATATTCCACCCATTGTCGTAGCCAGAAACTTCAGTGATGGATCTATGTTTATTTCGTCATTGTTACTTACTAGTTTATTTAATTATCAAAATATTTTCACTTTACTTTCTAGTAGAGTTATGACTAAAAACGAAATGGATATTGATTAATAGACATTCCGAAAATATGGTTTTAGTTTTAACAGTTCTGTTTATACAGTCAGTTATACTGTTTGCATATTATGATGAATTTCTTTAAACACTGATAATTAGCATGTAGAATTAACAAGTAAAAAAGAGCGTTTCAAAGTTTATGTTTTTTTATCAGTATTATAGAGAGTACAATTTTAAATATAAACAAAACTTGACGAATCGTATTTACCAAGGTTAGAATATGAAAATAAAATACATTTCTCACTTCATTCAGAATTTCAAATTTCAAACAAAAAAATTTTTTTAGAGTGAAAATATTAATTAGAATATCTTTTGTACTGTTTTAATTATAAAAATTAAATAGTCCTATTGTAATCAAAAATTAGTTATATTTTGTGTGAAATTTCAATTTTTAACATTGAAAATTGTACGTCTATACTTTATAGCATCTGGAAGTTCGATAAAAATGTTTGATAATTTTTGGTTATCCTACACCTTTCCACCTATCAAAAGCTAACGAATTTTACGAGTATAAATATTTTTCTATATTATACTTTAATATAACCTAAATATTTAATTTAATATTATTTTTAAAATGGTTTATAGTTTTTCCTATTTACATCTTTATTAACTTATAGATTATGATTTTTTCAGGAAGTGGTTTACTTTAAGTTTTTATTATATTATTAATTTTTTAATATATAAACTATCTATTTTTCTATATTTTAGTAGTTAAATTAGTTACAAATCAAATAAATTACATGCTTATTTTTTTATTTTTTTTATTCTGTTGATTTGATTAATGTATTTTGATTTACGGTATCATATCAGGTTGATCGATGTACTTTAATTATTCAAATGTTTCATATTGATCCTTATTTTTAAATGGCATTAAAAAGCAATCTAAAATCACGGTGATTTTTCTCCGAAAAAAATTTTATTTTTTATTTTGTGAAGGATTTGTTATATGAATTATTTATCGACTCCAAAGTTTGAATACCACATAATATTTATACATGTTTTTTTTGTTTGTAAAATATCGTTTAATTATTAACTTCAACCCCGTCAGATGCGTGAAACGAATGTTGTGTAAATAAACCGATCTTTTTGCTCAATTAACAGTCACAATTTAACTGTGGGTACACCGAAGATATTGCTGTAGAACAAACAACGTTATCGGTGGTGGCGGATCTGTTCTAGTCGCATTATAAAATATTGTAGTACGATTCGTTATATTAAATTTTATTCGGATTCCGTTTGTGTGACGGTTACTTCCTTTTCCGTCCATTTCCTATATCCGTATTCCACATTTTTTTATTGAAATATATATTATACATATTGATACATATAATACATATTTATTTAAACACGTTATTCTATATTTATTAATTTATTTTTATAATATTCTTTTTACACTTAAATTCTTGTTGTTTGTATAAAATTGATTAATAAAATAAAATGTGTTTGAAGAATTTCTATAAAACTTCTCGTTCCCACCTGAAATATATTATAATTCATATCATACTTTGTAAATTACAAAATATCTTGCTGTTTTGGTCCAAGCTCATTGTTATCGTCGGAAAGTTCTAATAATGTGTACTTAATATATACAGATATATGTTTTAGTTATTCATTGTAATAAAACTAATATAAAAAGCTTACGGTGTTAAAACTTATGCACTTTGTTTTGTAAACTTCATGATTTCGACAATACCTAGATTTCAGTTAACTATTTTTCATTGAAACATGTCAATTATTTATATGTTTAATAAATATATTAAAATAATATGCTTACTACGACTAATTTAATATGAATATCAAAACGATTATAATTCAATAAAATATTTGTTCAATATCCAATTAATATGGTATATAAAAATATTTTAATACATGTAATCTCTTATAAAAATTATTATTTGATTATTTTTGTTTTAAAGTTACAATAATTATATTACATTATATTTTCTAAGAAACTGATTATGTGCTTACAATACATAAAATGAACCATTTTATTTATTTTTTCTATCGACTATTATATTAGTTAAACAATAAAATAATACTATTTATATATTATATATAACTAGTAACATTAATGTTATATACCTGTGATGTTCAACCTATTTTCCTCGGTGGACTACTTAGGTAAATAATTGTTTTCGAGTGGACCATCAAAAATAAAATTATGAATGATGTCAATATTAATCTAATATATAATATCTAATATAATTTTGTTACTTATAGTAGGTATACAATATACCTGGTACATATTGGACTTTTTTTCATTTATTTTAATGACTATTGAAAATATTTAAGATACACGCTGTAGGTATTTATTATTTTGATCCAATACTCTTTTAAATGTATGAGTCATATCGAAAATTTGTATTTTTAAATGTTCGAAAATAAAATCAATAAATTAATAAAAAATGGTATTTAATAATTATTTTACTTTTATTTTATTTTAAAAATTTGTAACGACCCACATAGAATATCTTTGTTGGCCACGTGTAGTCTGTGGGCCGCGGGTTGGGTACTACTATTATATATGATATATATATACACTCATATCTTGTATGATATAATTGGTACATTTATTTTTATTATTTTTGATTGACCAATTGAAATATGAAATATTCAAATCTAGTAGGAACAATACCGGATTTTCTTTTTGGTTTGTTTTTTCATATCGTCATATCCTCCAATTCTTCATCTTGTAAAAAAAAATTATATCATGTAGGTCGAATTACTTATGTACTCCTTTCTTCTGTTGTGACCTAACCACAGCAGTATAGCGTGACGTGTCCTGTTTACGAAAATGTTTGAACGTTCATCTTTGCAGTGTTGTATGATGATGATAATATACGATAGATTTTTTTTTTGGTATCATAAAAACCATCTGCGGCGATCAACATAGACGGATACGTATAGTGCGTAGTATTTGGAGTGCTCGGTGTCATGTGCAGTGAAGGGAGAGAACGATGAGTATTATGTTATGAGCTCTGACGACCCCTAGCTTCCAGGCATATCCCCAATGTTTTTTTTTGTCAAATCGACGTCATTGTTTTCTGCACAAAAACATAATATACATATGAATCGCATTTATGACTAAAATTAAGGTTACAAGAACATAACTACGTTACTATATGATCTATTGTTACTGTTGCTGCTGCTACTGATCTACCAGAATTTTTTTATTTTACGTTCCTCTGGATAGATTTGATTTGGTTTTCCTCTACGTTATGTACATTTTCACTATCGCATATACACATTCGTTGTATTATTGAATGATCATTTGGGAGTAAATCCCTTATTTATGAGTTATGATGTGTCCGGTGTCGTCGAAAATAATTTTTTTCGTCTTTACCTATTAATTTACCATACTGAGCCTGACACGTGTGTATCATTGTTATGCACGCTCAAGTAATTTAATATAAAGGTGAATTGTTGTTACGCTCTATCTATGATAATATATGCATAGTCTATGGTTAGTTACTATTATTCCGCAATAACACTTCAAAAGGAACGATACTATTTAGATACCTTCCACTCTGTGATAATTTTTTAAATTATGTTTTTTTTTCCCCCAAGAGATGTATAATTTAAAAAAAATCTTATAGTTGTTTGTATAAATATTATGCATTTAATTTTATATTTTAGTATACATCGTGTTAAATTTATTCAGTAAATTATTAAATAAATATTTATTAACTAAAACAAAAATAGGCAGTATAATTTTCATTATTTTCATAGATTTTTCAGTTACAAACATTTTGTATTTTTAATATTTTTTGAACGGAAAATAATAATAAATTATGGTCTTTATCAAAGTACGTGTATTAAAAGAAAAATTTACATTTATCTGAACTGTCCAAAATAGTACTACCATCATGAATTATTAATATCAAAATTATGTTACTACAGAATATTATACTATTTTCATTGTCAATTGCGTTTTGTGAAACTGTAATAAATGATATGCAGATATCTATAATATATAATCATATATAATAGCTGCATATTTTTATTAAATGTATATAACTGAAAAATAGATAATATTTTAGTAACTATTGTAACCTATTTAAATTATTTTTTTTTTTTTGAACTGTTAAAATTTTTATGTAAAAAAGTACGTATTAAACAATAACATATCAATATACTCTGTGGTAAATTATTTTGAATTTTATTGTTATAGTTTTATTCAAAATGTAAAAAACCGTTTACACGTACACACACAATATATATAAATAATTGCATAGATTCATCTCGGTTTTTCAGATAAATTTAATGTATGAAAATATTTTGTTTGTTATAGGCTCAATTATGTTCCACGTACGTCGGAGACCGGCTGATTACCATCCTAGAAAAAGAAAAAAGAAACCTACACATAAATGGAACCAACAAAACAGCACAAGCGAAATGTTGGAGTATCGATATGAAGACGGTTTAGATAGATTACCATTTTTTTTAGAGCTTAATGCAGGTAGTTATTCTAATATTCTTTGCAATAAAATTAAAAAAACCTTTCAAATTATTTTTATCGATTATGGAAGCTTTACCGTTTCAACGAATTGTTTTGGTAACTTACCTGTCAATCAACTGGATGAAATACTAAGGTCTATGAAAACGACCTCGTCCACCCTCATATCTAAAATTAATATTGATAGTTTATAATTGGCCTTTTATCAAAATGAAATGTAGAAAATGAAATGTCAAGTGCTTACTATAAAATATTTTCTTATCTAACTATTTATATCTGCTTGAAAAATAGTATTTTATTTCGTTGTATTACATGTCATAATTCAATACACTTATTGTAAATTGGCAGTGTATAACATTTTTACGTAAAAATGTATTGATTAGACATATGTAACTCATTTTAGTTTTTGTTTTGAAAATAATTTTGTATTGTCTATCATTCATTTTTATTACATAAACAGTTTTTAATATTTATTTATGATTTGTCTTAAACCTTTATGTACATTTTAATTTATGGTCTTGAAATTATAAGCTAATTATAATAATATTTTTGTACATAAATCGTATTAATCTGGTATTTGTATGTATAGATGGTATGGATATGGTAAATCCTAAGCGGTATCGAATTCATCCCAATGTAACGGAAGTAGGCTGTGAGAGACAGAATCAGCCCCAAAGTAATGCTCAATGTTTACAGCTTAGTGGTCCTAATATTCAACCTCGGCATTGTGTGATCGCACATACTGAAGGCATTGTCACTGTAACGCCTTGTAGTCGGGACGCCGAAACCTATGTTAACGGACAACGAATATTTGAGACCACTATTCTTAAGGTAGGTTCAATTAATTGAATGTGTTTTGAACTTTATGTTATAAATTATTTTTTGTTCACAGAACGGAGAAATAGTGAAATTTGGGCGGTTAAACAATCTTAGGTTTTTGGATCCTTGTTATGATGAACGGCCTAGACCTCGTAATAATTCATTAAGAAATGTTCAAGACTATTATGATAGGTAACATTTTTTTAAAATTTGTAATATAACTTATAGAAAAAAGTTAAGCATGTTGTTTTACTATTAATAGGTTGATTTTAATTTTTGCATGTGCTTTTGATTTTTAGCTTAGTTATTATTATTTTTATTTTTTTAACACTTAATTAGCGGGTCAGTAGACAACACCCAGCACTCAGTTGTTACGCAACAAAATTTTGAAACAACTTTTGATGTGGATGGTAATATTGAAACGCGCTCTACTTCTAGCCAAGGAAATAAAGATGACACTAGATCACAGAGGTCAATCACCAGCAGCCGTGATGGCAATCGGTATTATTACTTAATCCATTTTTAACCATTGTTTATGGAATTTACCATGTTTTATTCATAAAAATTTAGTCATAATTAGAAACACCAATAACTTTGTTTAGATTGTCTGCTGTATATGGTCGTACTAGTACTGCCCCAGTGGCAGATAATATTTTACCCTGTGTCTTGGAAGTAAGAGAAGAGACTGAAGAAGCATGGATTCATGCTGTCACCATGGATATTGATCCTTCGACATTAACATTTAAACATGCTCCAGCTTATTGTCTATATCTTTTAGCTAGATATAGAGCATCTACTTCATATCGACCAGATGTTACCCCAATGGAACGAGCCAATCGATTATCATTGACTTTTGCCAAAGTTGCAACTATACTCTATACTATGATACAGGTGTTTAATGATTCAATGGTTATTGTTTTATTTAAATAGTTGATTTTGAATATATTAAAACTTTTTTTTATTTTCTAGGGAAAACAAAATGATTTAACTTTGTTATCATTTTGGCTTGCAATCGTGACCGAATTAAGACAATTTTTACATAGTGATCGCCATTTGTCTAACTTTTTGACAGAAACTATTGAAATGTTGCATGATACCCAGCAAGCAGCTATGCGGTAAGTTATTTAATAATATTATTTTTTAGCACAATTCTGTGATTATTTAAACATTTTTTTTTTTTTTAGATTTATTGTTGAATGCATTCTGGAAGAACTGATGGCAGTATTACCCGATATTTTTGCAGAAAATACAGATGCTGATAATGAGCATTTACCTGCTAATTCGGTTGGTTATATTATATATAGTTTTGTATTACCAAAAATATATATTTTAGTTATAAATTTGTATTATTTTTACTCAGCTGTTAATGAATAAATTGATTTAATTTTAACTATAATTATTATTTTAAATGTATTAAGTCTTATGACAGAGTGCCAAGAGAAGTTTTAAAGTAGGCATTAATGAGAAAAGTGGTCCTAAAAATGTATATAAATTTAATTTAGGATATATATGAAAGGTTGAGAACTAGTGTAAAGAGTTTGTGTGGAGTAACAGAAGATTTTAAAATAGGAGATGGTGTGCATCAGGGATCAGCTCTAAGTCCTTATTTGTTTTCTGTGGTAATATATGAAGCTATAAAAGACATACAGGGTGAGATACTGTGATGTTTAATGTTTACTGATGATATACTTTTGGTAGGAGAAAATCTGGAAGTATTTTATAATAGGTTAGATGAATGGAAGTTAGTCCTTGAAGGAAAGGGATTGAGAATTAATAGAAATAAAACATAGTTTATAGAGTATAACTTTGGAAAAAGATACCAAGAAGTTGAGGGTATAAGGAAACCAATGACAATAAGCAGTAATGTGATAGTAATGTGATAGGTGAAGTTGAGAATTTTAAATATGCAAGAGAAGAAGAAGAAAAGTATTAGGTTTCAGTTATTATTATATGTTTATATGATAATGTATATTATTTATTTTATGTAGATTGTTAGTAAGCTGGGTATGATGATGACAACACTGCGTGAAGGTCGTGTTAATGCATCTCTTACCATTCAAATCTATAATCAAGTATTTCGTTTTATTAATGCTTGGGCATTTAATCGTCTTATCACTGCCGATATGGGTTATTATACTCGTTCGTGGGGTGCACGATTAAAGTCACGCATTGGACGTCTTCAAGCATGGGCCGAAAGACAGGGTTTGGAAGTATCAGCCGATTGTCAATTAGCATTAATTTCTCAAGCTGCTGATCTACTTCATGTAAATTATTAATAATTAATCTAACTATATGTTTTATATAACTAATAGTTAATTTTTGATTAGGCACCAAAATACACTGGTGAAGATTTAGCAAGTATTACTTCTACATGTTTTAAGCTCAATTCTCTTCAGCTCAAAGCCTTATTAGTTAAATATCAACCATCTCTAGACGAACCTAGACTGCCACATGAACTTATTGACAATGTTGTACGGGTATGGTTATAACAAACTAAAAGCAAACTTTGAAAATAATACAAACAAAATATTGTCTATTTTAATCAGGTTGCTGAGAACTTGGCTGATGAATTAGCTCGATCTGATGGTCGTGAAATACGGCTAGAAGAAGATGATGAATTAATGATAACTTTTGTACAACCTGAAGAAGGATTCAGTTATGAGGTTGCTAGAGGTGTTCCTCCAGGTCTCATTGAATTCATTCAACCCCTTCAACAAGCTGGAATGTGCCGCTTAACACTTCATTCTAATGCTTCTGGCTTATGGACTGTGTACTTTTTACCAAATGTAATATTTCAGGATATCATATTGTGTAAATGTGTTATTAATTATATATCTTATAGGCTCGAAGTCCAAGTGCATTGAGCAATAGAAGTGGTGGTTACGCTATACAAGCACCAGAACCTGATGTACAAACCATAAGATTACATAAATCCAACAATGGAATGGGTTTGAGTATTGTGGCAGCAAAAGTAAGTTACTTTAAATAATATTCAGTTGTTTAATATTGTATTTTTTTTATTTAACTTGTTCAGGGTGCTGGTCAAGAACGGTTAGGTATATATATCAAATCCGTTGTGAAAGGAGGTGCTGCCGATGCAGTAAGTTTATTGAATAAAAAATTAAATTAGTTAACTTTTAAATTATTTACAAGTTATATCAATATAAAGTATTTATTATTTTTATATTTATATAACTGGTATATAAATATAAGTATATATATTTATTATGTTTAGTAATTTATCTTATACAATTAATTATTTTTTATTAGGACGGAAGACTTCAAGCTGGTGATCAGTTATTGAAAGTTGATGGTCAAAGTCTTGTTGGTATTACTCAAGAAAAGTAAGTAACTGAAAAATTTTTAAATTCTTTAGTATATTGTAAATTGTCAATTCAGGGCTGCAGAATATTTGGTGCGTACAGGACCAATAGTAACCCTTGAAGTTGCTAAACAAGGTGCCATACATCATGGTTTAGCTACATTGCTTTCTCAGCCTTCTCCTGTTATGGCTAGAGGTAAGATTTGAATGCAATATTTATTATATATTTTTTCTATAAAATAATATATTTAACTGGGGTGTTAATAAAAGTGCTTTGGTTGGTGATTTGTGAACAAATCCATTAAGGTCCATGTAATTTTTTAGTAATAATAATAAATCATTTAACTAACTAGCTTATTAATTGATGACATGCATAAATTTGTTGCTTCTATAAATAATTATTCTTCCAACATCAGTATTAACAAAAAGCAAACGAGAGACACATTTCGTCTGAATATCCAAAATGGTCAAAACTAAATAAAAATATCGATGGCCGGTAATAATTAACTTTTGACTAAAAACCACCCGTTGTTAGATTCCGTCCGTAGGGAAAGGCCAATATCTGATTATCAGCCCCGCGTGAAAGCCAAACTCCCACAAAGCAGTTTATCGATGCATGACATACACGAATGTAGCGATGAAGAAGTGATAACCACTTGGATGACGGACGTACTATCTCTATCAGGTGAATTGTGTGTGGGTTATAGGTGGTGGTGTTGGTGTTATTGGTGGTGGTGGTGTTCTTAGAACAAGTTTAGCCTGCAGAGATCCCACGCAACCTCGCTTTGGTCACATATCCTCCTGCAAACCTCATTCCGATTACCTTTCGGTGCCGGACGTGCGTCAAAAATGTTATAAAATACCGCCGGAAAACGAGCTGTGCCTATGTGAGGATATATTCCAGCAGCACCAAGCCAAATTGGTCAACTGCGATGTGGAGGACGCGAGCGCTGTGGAGTCGTATAAAGAGCCGAGCTTCGAATCTAACGAGAATACGTATGACGACAGCGGTAGCAATGAGTGCTGTTGCGTCGGTGATAAAGATGGTGATAAATCGCCTAAATTGTCATTGTTGTCTCCCGGTGATCGTGGTCTCTGTGATGACCGAAAAAGCAGCTTAGTGTCGTCTGTTACGTCGACGGCATCGACATCGTCGTCATCATCGTCGGCGGACTTGGCAGTAGTACCCGTTGACAACAGACAACTGTCGGAAAAGCTGACAGCTGAAGAGCGTGATAAAGTGCTCAAGGAACTTGACGATATAATCACGGGAAATTTTTTGACCAAAGTTCGGCGATTCAGCCAAGATGTGCAGTCCGATTCTAGCGATGACCATCGCGGCGGTGTTAATCAATTGCAGCTAACCCATGTCGCCGCTACGAGACTACGCGGCAAACGGTCGAGTTCGCTGGATACGGATGAAATTGTCAACTACGGCAAAGTAGCCGAGCTCACTCGTAGGTTTTCCCGGTTAGGCGAGGCGGGTATAATTGGTTCTCAGCATTATTGCTCTGAACCGAATTTCTTCGGTGACCCCTCGTCTGCCCGTCATTATCATCGCCACTGCGACAATGACGACGACTCTTCGTTGTCTTTCGGCGTGGGTGGTGGCGATGGCGACGGAGTTGCCTGCAGTAGCGGTGACGACTACGAAGTCGTCCGACAACCTATTCGGATGGTTTTCATAAGGCCTATGAGCGTTAGTGACGATCGGTTAAACAATAGGAATGTTGGTGGTGCGGTGTTGACTGAAGTAACGAGTGATGGGGAAAACGACGTACGTCGGACTTTAAACGCGGCACAAAACAGACGTAGATCTTTTCGGAAAAGTGTGGCGTTCGATAGTTCATTGAGTTCATCAATTGACGGCGGCAGCGGCGATGAAGCAGCGACACGTTACCGACGCTTGAAAGGTGGATGGCAAAGCGTATCGAATCAGCAACAAGATCATCATCGAACCTCCGTGAATTACAGCAAGAGTTCGGACACGGTGTCCATGTCGAATCTGGGTCGGTCCCACAGACGTTATTCTAGCGTGGATGTGTATGACCAGGTGAAAAATATGTTCCTAGACGTGGAAAAGACGGAAAAAGAATTTCGGGATGGTCTGTTGGCCGAGAAGAATCGGCGCCGTGAAGCTATCCAGGAGTATATGGCTAACAAAGAGCTGTTGTTGATAAAAATGAAGTCGGCCAGCGTAGGCGGCATACTTCGTTGGAACCAAGAGCATCAGGATACGTTGCTAGATGACGAAGAACCACTGGCTCCTTCACCGCCTCCCATGTTGCTGCAACCGCCATTGATTCAGGACCGTCGATCATCGTCATCATCGGAAGAAGGATCGCCTAAGGACGGCTTACGGCGCGTCTTGCACACTGGATTAAAAGGCAGGCGGATTAGAAGGTTAAGAAAGTTAGAGTCGAGAAGTAACGGTTTCTCGGTGGCAGACTTCTGGCGCGTTAGTAAAGACGAACTGCCGTCGTCGTCACGACACAGTACAGGTTGTTCGTCTGCAGAACCACTCGATAAACATAATAATATGCTGTGAGCACCGAAAAACACTCGTTTAGATAATAATAGAAAGCTGCTTGATTTGATTTATAGCTTTGCTTTATGTTTGCTTATGGTATGTCTATGCATGTTGTAGTATTTTATAAGGTTTAAAAGTTTAGTCTAGGTCTTAAATAAATATACACTTTTACATTTTTTAATTCATTAACATACTAGTTAATTTATTTACACTTTTTTCCATTGCATTTTTCTAAATTACTTACATATTTAGTACATTATAATGTTTTACATTTTAATTGTGATGAATATTGTATAGTATTTATTTATTAAAAAATAAATTAAGAGGATTCAAAAAATGATAGTAAGTAAATTAAATTTGTATATAATTAATTTATTATTATATTAAAATCTTTTATATTATTGAACTGATTTTTTTGTAATTTTGCATTCTTGAATTTATTTTGTTTTTAAAAATTTGTTGCTTTTTTTTAAATTATGTAACTTACTCAAATTTTGATATTTAAAATATTTTTTTACTTCTTTATGATAATTATCTTATTTTATATCTCTTCTCATTTAACATTAATTATCTTGCATTGATATTTTATTTATGACAACCAGTGTTAATTTACAGGGTATAAAAAGTATTAAAATTATGTTCTGTATTTGCAAAATAGAACAAAATAATGTATGCATTTCGATCAAGTATTGTTATAAAGAAAAATTAATGATATGAAATGTTTAATCTTAAACTTATAAACTTTTATTTAATGAGCTATAATTGTGTTTAATATAACGTCATATACTTACTTTGGGTTTAAATTTAAACTAGTGAACAGTGTTGCATAATTATTTTACTTTTATAATACAATTTTATTTAATTATTATGTGTATGTAGTTTTTGGAAGGAATTCATTTAATTATTTTTTTTTTTTTGGTTTAATGCATGGCTTTTTTTTATATTTAGTCGATTTTACTTAAAATATAAATGTAATATATAAAATAAGCTCTAAACGATTGGAACTATTAAGAACTGTTATGAATTTTTAAATTATTTTGTTTAACATAGTAAAAGTTGAACTTTTTTAGTATAAAATATGCTGTTTGAATGTCTAAACAGAATATTTTAGGATATAATTTAACTAATTTATTATTCATTACTTGTTTAATTACTCTTAGTAAACTTTTTTCGTTCATAAAATTATAAATTGTGGAGTAATTTTAGATTCTGAATGAAGCAATAGATGTATTTCGTTTTTTAATTGCATGTTTTGATTGTTTAATATAAAATAAAAGTATTCTCTATAAAATTGAACATACTTAAACAGTTTAAGTATATTTAACATCATTCATAAATCATAAATTAAAAATATATTTTATAATTTATATTATTCTTGTTAAGCATAAACAGTTTCTAATAATGGATAAAAATATAATAATCCATATAATTCTTATATTTAATTTGTAGTAATCAACCAAAAAAATGATAAACATAATCATCATAATTTTATATTTTATATTCACCTAAGATGTACCTTAATAGTTTATTTATTTCGTATGACATTCAAGATCTTAAGCGCAATACGATCAACAATTAATACAATATAATTTAGGTAAAGGGATAAGAAGATAAAAAGATAAAATAAAAATAAATCAATAGACCCATAAAACAGTTAAAATTGGTAGAAAAATGAACAACTATATAAATATACTATATTATTGGTTCTGTCAGGTAACTTTTGATTCATAATGCGACGTCGAGTTTACTTATCCATTGAATGGCTATGTCTGTGGCTTTGAAGAAGTCTTCCATCTCCTGGGTATCGTCGAGCCGGACAGTCTTTTATAATGTGGTCCATTGATTACAACTCTCCACAGTTACAGTTTGAGTTGTCTCTTAACTTCTATTTGTTTAAGAGTTGGTTGCAACGTCCTTGTTCTATACGGATTTGATTGAGGCGGACGTATATTTTGGGCGGGAGTTTCATTCCAGGCTGTGGCATTGAGGGGCAGCTGACTAGTTCTCTGTTTGGCGGGAGGTTTTCGTGCCATTCGGTTTGCAGTGCGTTCGGGTTGTTGATGTGGTAGTTGATTAATTTTTCTGCTCTGTAAAGAATAGGTTTACGATACTTTAGGCGGGGTGTTTTAATTCTATCAGGTGGATTGAAAGTTCGGGGTCTTTATTGATTCGTGTCACTAGCTTTAGAAGAGCAAATTCTCTTCGGATATGAGGAGGTTCTATATACGACAACACTGGTAACCACGGAGTTGGGTTCGGCATGACACTTCCTGTTATTAGGCGCATGGCTTTCCTAAATTGGGTATCCACTAGCTTACAGTGGCTGCTGTTCTACCGATGAGTACACCAGAGCCAGTGTTGACGTGCGTAACACCTGAGTGTTTGCGCCTCATGAAGTTCCTGCTAGTTTAGATTAGTGATACTCTAGTTTTTAATTTAGCTGCCAGTTTCTACGGATGGGATTTGAAAGTAAGCGGGTGGTCTAAGGTTATGCCTAGGTACGAAGGGTTTGGTTGATTCTTTATTAGTTGGCCACAGAAATCCACATTTAATTGCCGCTGGGATTCCCTGTTATTCAAAGTGAACGACGATACTATCGTTTTTAGTGGATTAGGTTTAAATCTCCATTTTTTGTAGTAGGTCTCGAGTGACTTTAAATCTTCTGTTAGGGTTGTTTCTATTGTGTTAACAGAGGATCCCTTCGCAACAATTCCGAGGTCATCCGCATTTGTAAACTTTCTTCATTTAGTCTCAGGTAGGTCACTTATGTATACGTTGAACAAAACTGGGGCCAGGACTGAGCCTTGTGCAAGTCCGTTCAATGTTTTAGGTTTAGATTTTTGGTTTCCCATTATTACGTGGAATCTTCTATTGCTCTAAACATCATGTATGTATTTTTTAGTTCCTTTACAGGGAATGATTTTTGTCAGTTTGTTTAGTAGTCTATGCTTCCAGACAGTGTTATAGACGGTACTGAGGTCAATAAAAGTGGCTCCGATTTTCTGGCGGTCATTAAAGCATTTTTCTTGTGCGATGTCAGAGCTGCAAATTGTTCACAGAAATTTCTTGAGTGTCTAAAACCTGCCTGGTAGCTGGGTATTGCCTTTTCGATAATGGGTGATATTCGTTTCAGAATAACTATCTCTGTTAGTTTTGACATGCTTAGTAAAGATATGGGTCGATAGCTTTTCGGGCTGTCAGTGGATTGTTCTGTTTTGAGAATCGCCACTACAATCGATTCTTAATATTTACTAACTTAATTGTGTATGTGATGTATTTACATTTTTAAATAATTAGTTGATTTGAATAATCATTAGTTGTTTTATTTTCTTATAGCTATTATTTAAATGAAAATAAATATGTGTTGTTTATATTTTTTATTTAATAATTTTTTTTTTGTGAATATAATATATTTAATATTATTTTTTTGGATTTCATAAAATATAACATTTTCTTATGAAGTATTATTCAATTTTATACTAAATAGTAGTTAATGATTTTTTTCTTATATATATTTTCAATAGATACTGAATCATTTATTTATCAGCATTAAATTATTTATTGTCTTTTTTTGTTTATTTTTAAGTTATTAAAATGTAATATATTTTTCATTTCTATAAGTTTTTTTTCTATGTTTATGGATTTTATCAATACATTATTTTGTAATAATGGTATACTATTATTACTAGGGACCGGATTTATATGCAAATGCATATATGCATTGGAATAAGCTTTTTGAAATCTGATGAGCATTGTCCCCGATTTAGATCATTCTTATTAAAATAACACTAATTTTACTTTGCATATTTTAACGTTTTAACCTATTAAATGCATATTATTATTAATAGCACATATATTCGTTTTTATCGTATTTTCACGTTCATAGCCACATAATATCGATTAAATTGCGACTGAATACAAAGGGTTGCCGAAGAAATAAGAAATCAATTCCTCAAGTTGATGAACTTATTTCTGACGACAAAAAAGTTTTTTAAAAGTTCCATCGTGTACGACACTTTTCTAAAATATGGCCCCTAATCTAACACTTCCACCAAAACGAATATTAACGCGTTGGGGTACATGGCTAAACGCAGCCTTTTATTATTGTGACAACTTGAAAATTATTAAAGAAATAATTCTTCAATTGAGCAGTGAAGACTCTATTTCAATTAAAAAATCACAAGATTTGATAAAAGATCCTAATTTGAAAGCTAATTTAATTTACATTAAATCAAATGTTGAAATAATTCTGAGCACAATAAAAATGATAGAATCAAAAGATTACTTTTTATCAGAAGCCATGATCAAAATCAAAAACGCAAAAACCACATTAAAAAAATTGGTGGTATTATAAATGCCAAATTTTTTTTACATTTAAACATTTCAAATATTTGTACATCATTTTAAACAACATTTTAAGTGAATATTTAAGTACATATTTAAAAATAAATATATATTTTATAGCATATTACAGCATTTTTAGAAGCATATTTTGAGGATTTTTTGTGCATATAAATCCGGTCCCTAATTATTACCAATATAATTGAATTATAAATATTGAATTATTTCTTAAATTGTAACCTTAATAAGACAGGAGTACCTATATTGTTTATTTTTATTACATTTTTTTTATTCAATTTATTTTTAATTTAATTGCTTTCATTTGTTTAAGTAGAAAATGCTTACGATTGATATGTGTAGTATTTGTCTTAATTTATCTAGAATTAAATTTAATACTTATTTTTTGTAAGCTTATTAGTATGTGTCTTATTAATGTATTATATATATATATACATATACATATACATATACTGTAACTTTATTTATGAAATAATAATTCTTTATTTATTTAGGTCCTCGTCGTATGAGCGAACGGGACTTGCCGTCTCGTGTGTTAAACGAACAACAAAACATCAACTCCAGAGGTCCACCACCTCACCATCTGTCACAAATTCAGAGTTCGAAATCCGTCCCTTCTCTTCACAGTAAGTTTTTATTGACTTATATTACATAATTAGGTAATATGACATTGGTTAATAATCAAATTAATTGTGTTAGGCGTTGAAGGGGCAAGCACAACTATACCTCCTATAGTAGGTAGACCACCAACTCAACACGAAGTTTTTAATCCTGGATATAATCGCACTTCAACTACTTATAATCTTCAGCATCAGAATACACTTAAATCTCGGTATGATTTGTATTTATTTTTAATACTCTAATAAAGGTATTTTATCAATTTTTATTATTATTTTTAGGTCTAGCCAAAATCTTAATGATTCTCGTCCACACTCCCAAATGGCTCTTCGTCAGCCATCAAATCCAAATCTCTTAAATGGTAACTACCATCCAGAACGATCACCATCTGTTCACGCAAATGTATATCAACCTCAACAGCAGCACCCAGCATATCAACAGCATATACAGCAACAGTTGTTAATGCAACAACAATATAACAGTCCTACTCCAGAAACTACTGATGAACGTTTCTACCAAAATGTTAACCAAATATATAGAAACCAAGATCAAAATGGTTATGGACCATCTGGAAAACTGCCAAGTCCACCCGACGAAAGGTAAGTTAGAACATAAAACTATATTGACAGAAATAAAAGTAAGCATTTTTCTTTTCTTTTTCAGAACTCCTAATCAATTACAAAAGAGTTTTAGAGGATCACAATCATCATTGCAGAGTAGACAAAGCTCTGATGTCACCCAACATTTGAAAGATAGACCTACATCAGCATATATATCCAATAAAGATTCTTATAATTTACAGAATCAGGTTAAAATTAAAATTATGATATTGCATCAATGGCTAGTAAAATTTAATAATTATTTTTTTATTTATAGGGAATGACAATGCGTTCTCAATCTTCAAGAGATATGTTAAGGCAGGATGCAAAATTACAAGAGATGACTGAAGAAGTGCGTAGACGTGAATTAAGGTCTAGTGGGGTTATGTCTCCACATCAATACGCCACACAACAGAGACCACCACCAAATAGAGCTCAACCATATCTAGGTTACCAAGATGCTAAACCCACTTCATACTTGGCAGATCAATTAAAACCTCAACAAGACATTGTTCGCTCTCAGCAATACCATCAGCCAATGAGAGCCACAGTTCCTGAGCCTATGCCACCTGCATATAGAGAATCACCTCCACCACCTCCTCCACCACCAACATCAACACATCCACTTTACCAGACAAGTCCACCGCGCAATGAACCTAACAGATATATGGCCAGTGGTGGTGAACCACCTAGAGGTGGTTTTTATCAAACACCTACAGAGCAATCTAAGCAATACCCATATCAGGGCACTAATCCTTGGCAAAGAGAAGAAAAAGAAAAAGAAGCAGAACGTAGAAGAGAAGCTGGTAGAATGTGGCGTGATCAACAAATGAGTGAACTTGTAGCACTTGGTCCCAATAGAACTGTAAGTCAAGAAGAACAGCTGCGAGCTCTCAGATTAGAAAAAGAATTTGAACGTCGGGCCCAGGAAGAAGGAGAAGATGATGATGATGATGATCAAGTAAAACTAAAAATAATTTACATTTATATTTGAAATATTATAATTAATATTTTTCAGGAAGCAAATGAAAGAGTGCAACAATTAATGCGTAGTGCTCAACAACAAAGTGATAGGAGACCACCTCCAAATACAGTTAGGGCTCCAAGTAATAATTATATGAATAGTTCACTTAGAGGTCCACAACCAGTACCTTCTAATGGGTATATATATATTTACTTTAAATACTAGTAAGAGCATTGAGTTTTTATTGTTTTTTATCTATACTTTTATATTTTTAAAAGAATCAGTGATGAAAAAGAACGATTAAGAAGACTTAAAGAAATGAAAACAAAACAAGTTGAGATGGAAGCTATAAGAGAAGTAGAATTGAAACTTAAAAGAAAGGTGTGTTTTATGGCTTTCAATTTTTTTTTATAAAATCCGATAAAATATCTGTAGTTTGTGTGCTTTCTAATAAATAAGTAATACATTAATTTACCTTATATGCATAATGAATTCACAATTAAAAATTCTAAATAGTTTTAAAATGTTTCTTATATTTCCTGTACATTTTATTGATGTATATTATGTATATAATGATCATTGATTAATAAGTATTTAACTAGAGGTTTATAGTGACATAATATATATATAATATATTTCTTTTTTTATAGACAAATAATTCTAACTTGTAATATATTTTATTTTATTTCTTATCTAATGTAGTAATATAATAATAGTTTAATAAAAAAAAATATAAATATATTATAGTCTGTTAAAGTTAGTTAATGTTATATTAATATACAATTTTTATTCTATATGAATGTGCATAGAAATTAATAGTTTGTGTATTTGTGTTATATTTTATGTAAAATATTAATTTTTATAATTATATAAGATTACATGCACACTCTCACAAATATGTTAGGTTAATGTGTAGCTTATTATTTTGTAGTAGTCATTAATCAATGTTTGTTAATTTAAGGAGGAAGAACTCAAGTATCAACAACAGCAACAGCTATTAAATCAATCTTATAATAATAACACTCCCAATCACATTAATCGTTCTGTAAATCCACCCAACAATTTATCTCTTGATAATTCTGGATATGGTTATAGTCCATCATCACAAGGAAGCCACCCTTCTCAACGGTTAGATAATTTGTTGGGCAGTCCCAACAATAACGATCCACCTCTTCCACCTGAACGAGGATCATCATATGCTATAATGAGCCAGGTAGAAACAAAAGCAACACCACCTAGACCACCAGTTCTTTCATCTACTCCAAATGGAGTGGTAACTGTATCGAATGCAAATATTACCCCTAAACGTGTGTCATTCCAAGACCCAACATCTATACCACCATCACCACCATCTCCAACATTGGAGAAAATTATTGAAGATCCTGATGTAATTAGAGTTAATTACTCATTTTTTCTTAAGCTGGTTATTATATTTGATTAAAGAAAATTTTTATGTATAACAGAATTTCATTGATCAAGCCGAAACAATGTTAGCCTCACCACGTAGCCCTGACATTCAGTTTACCAGTGGTAATACACCAGGAGTAATAGGAGCTCAAGAAGTCTACAGGTAAATATTTATCCATCTTCTAGTAAATACCTAATTATTCATGTTGATATTTTTCTGATTTAGGGATCCAAGACAACGTTTGCTAGCTGAACAACATCAAAAACAAATGTCTAATAAAGTGGGTACAGTGCCAGAGAAGTTGAGTTTTAAAGAAAAAATGAAAATGTTTGCCATGGAAACTGGAGAAGATGGTACACCCAAAGATAAAGTAAAAATATCAAAAGCTCAACGAGAGATTGACAACTTAGGAGCATCTAATACACCATTAACTAATTAAATAAAAATATTGAACAATATTTATTACTTAGATATGCACTTAAACATCCCATTAAAGTTAAGTATTTTTTCATTTATTTTTTATTTTTATTTTTTCATAAAGATTTGTAAATCTTAACTATTTTGTATTTATTTAATTATTTTTCTGTATTCATCAACATATTATATTTAATAAGTACACATCTAATATTTGTGATTTATTATAGTTGAATATTTAACTATAGTTTATTTTGTATTGTATCGTTATATTGTTGAGAGTATAGCGTTAAATTATTATCGTTGAATAGTTGTATCATCATGTTTTTTTTTTTTTTTTTTATTATTTGTTGCTTAATGCAGAAGCATTATATTTTGTTTTCAATTAAGAGTTCTGAACAATTGCGAATAACACCCTTTTTTCATCAATTATTCAAGATTTACTTAGACCATTACATTTTTTTACATATTAATAATAAGATAAATATTTTGTTGTATAAACAATCAAACATATACATTTATATCATTATTATTATTATTATTATTATTATTATTATTATTATTACTACTATAATTATCATTATCATAATCATTTATATTTTATGTAATTTAAATTATTATAAACTCTTAGTTAAATTATTTTTATTTTGTTTTGAGAACTTTATTTAAGTTAAAAAAATAAATAATAAAGAAATTTAAATAAAACAGTTATATTTATGTATGTATATAGACATGTATAAAATATAACAAATATAACTTATATATGATTATAAAATGTTGTTTGTATATTTTGTGTAAAACGAATATAATTTCGATTTCAAAAAGTATTTTATAATAGTATTGTATTTACTATATATTATAATATTTATTATTCATTTATATAATTACTGTAATTATTATTATTAATTGTAAAAATAAAACAAGAGTTATACACACACACATATATATATATATATATTTTTTTTTAAATTTATATACACATTTTTAGCTTTTATATTAATGTTGCTTGAAACCTATAATAGACTTAAATTTTGATTTTACAGATATTCAGAAATTTCACTAAGGCAGTGAACCGTAACAGTGTTAATAAAATCATAAATAACTTTTTTTTTATTCTTACAATTGTTCAAATTTAAAATGTAGTATAACATATTAAGTGTTTCAAACTGTTATGTTAATTCTCCATAATTATTTATAATTTTTATGTATGTACATAATGGCACACAATATGCTCTCTTCTGGCCACTCATACCTTTTAACGTGGAAAAATCCCAATCAATACGCCAGATAAGGATTTTGTTGACACGTTTATCTTATTTTCGTTTTATACCAAAAAGTACTCTTACCGCACAAGCATGGACAGTGCTTTTGATAAACGAGTACCTATCCGAGTACTTTGGTTTAACGGGTATTACCCAATTTACAAAATTTCGGGTACCCGTTATATTTTGTGTACTCGTTATTTACTTCACCTATAGGCTACAGTCATTTCAAAAATTTGTATAATAAATGATGACCAGCAGTCTGATGACAAAACAATATTGTCGCACTTGCTGCATTATATATGTATACGTATGATTGCCACTACTTATTATTTGCGTAGCTATACACATACAAGGATAACTATAGCCACTATGGCCGTTACCTACTAAGTTTTAATGTAGGATTTAAAATAGCTTTTAATATGGCATTCAACATTATACTCGAATAAACTTATTATTAATCTACAAAATCACTATAAACACTTAAAAAATACTAAACATTTTATTTTTAAACCATGTTTTTGTTAAATTAAAAGAGGAAATATTTCTTATTCGTATAAATGTATAATTATTATATAATACTAATTTCCTCCTAGCAGCTAGATCTTAGCTTGACTATTTACGTGTATTAAAAACTTTTGGTTACCCGAACATTTTGGCAATGGCCTAACCCACTACCCGAAAACGTTGGTTACCCGCATAATCGAGTATTACTCGGATATACCGGTACCCGGGTACCAGGGTATTACCCATAACAAAACAAGAGCACTAATGGACAGCACCGTGAACGTGTGTTCTGGCGCACTCGTCGACCGACTGCCTATTTAATTGTATAAGTTGTCGTTTTCGAGCGTTAAAGTGATACCCCCGACATCACTCGTACATTTTTAATTGTTATCGTTTTGTGCGTCTACACCATCTAAACCGCGCGGGAGTCAAAAGAAATGCTTTGTCTGTTGGAGATGAACTAAATGTTACTAGAAATGGCGTGTTAAATGAACAACGAATCGGCATTGCCTTCCTCTTCATTGCGGACCATGATGAAGAACGGGAGTGATGTTGAGAAAATATCGTTTTCAGGAAGTACAATACGTCGAAAGGTTGGCGAAAACGAGCAGTTAGAAAACATGTTAAGAGTGGTTTCGACAAGCTCACACGTTGAATTTGGCTGTACATTTTGCAGTTTTGACGGAAGAATTGAACGAAATCCCGAAACGTTCGAACGTAACGGATTTTGGTATATCGAACGGTTGGCTTGATCGATTTGGAAAAAGGTAAGGGATTATCTAACGTAAAAATGTATGTATTTATAAACTCCCTCCACCACCGCTATAAATATTTACCAGTGACGGTCCTGAGTCGACGCATTGAACCAAATCATTGGAATGAACCGAGTCAAATGAATAGGATCATTAAATTAAGTCGAAATTCCCACCTTTAACTGTAATGAACGACGTAGCGCGAAGCATTGACATACCCGTTGTACAGAACGCGCCACCGATAACGGATTATCGGTAAGAAATTTTTCGAAGAAGAAGCGGCGGAACGATGCTTACCGCGGTATTTGTACTGTAGTTGATTGCCGCGGTGCTGACGATGCTTAATAGAGCTCTGCGTAAGCCGATTTTCATAATCCTATCCCGGTCCATATTCCGATACGGAAACCCTGGCCCATTAGAGCCCTCCACTGTTATAATTTACAAAACCCAAGCCCTCCTGAAGTTAAAACTATGTAACGAAGCCCACCCAAACCTCCTAACTGTTTTAATAAAATCACCAGTCCAATCCGGCTCTAAAAGGTCCCTTAAACACAACTGTTATTTGTATAACGATCAACTTTTCAGCGTTTATTGTTTAGTAAATAAAAATATATATGTACAAAAGTCGTAGAATAATCATTTGTAAGTTTGTTAGGTATTTATCGTGTTTAAAACTTAATAGCTTGTAGTGCTCATGCGTACGTAGTACGTGTTAAGTTCATAGATTTAAAAATAATCCGAATAATACAATTGTAGGGTTCACCATTTGTGGCTTTCGTTTTTCATTTTCAGTGCTACATTAGTATAAATACAAAAATAATTTGCAGAACACTGGTCTAACTCAGTCCATGTCCTGATACGGAATGCCCGGACCCGTTAAAGCCCAGCGCTATTCTAATTTTTGAAACCCCATTCTATCCGAAATCGATTTAAAAAGTAAAGCCCATCAGACCCATATGCTTTTAAGGAACATTCGTGGTCCAAGCCAGGGTTCAAGTGCTCAACAATAATAATATCTCTATCCTTGAACGAACCGTTAGATATTAGAGCTACGTGTGCAGGGCCGTTTTTATCGAAATGCCAGTTATCGTAACGCGCGACGTCGTTTTCGCCGGAAATAATTTGGATTAGTGGACTGCGAAACTGTGCCCAACCGCGACTGGATTTCTTCTGTGGCAAATAATCCCGGTCCTATTGGACCGCTCTCTCCAAACGTACGTCAAGAAATTATGGAAACGTCGGATGGGTCTCGCATTCGTTATTGGTCCGCGTTTCCATAAGGATGAACCGGTATTCCGCGGCCCACGATCTTCCAATCCCCGCGAAAAACGTTCGCGGATTATCAAAAAATCGAAAATACGTTGGATCAAGGAAATGTCAGATTAACACAATTCCATTACTGATCTAGTGATTTAAAAATAATTTATTGACTATGCAAAAGGTATGAACAGGTACTTTGTTTATAGACTCTTAATTTTTGTGTGAATACGTCTCAGTTGAAACTGTGTAAATTTTAGAATTCTAAAATACAACCGTCATTATTAGAACTCACCGTACTTTTATATTTGTATTATTAGTCTTCTACTAAATTGGAAATATTGGTGACATAATGCACATTCAATTTTGTTGTTGTTTACCTAACTAATCTTGTCTTACCTTAACTGTTGGAAAATTGTGCATCTATATTATTGTATGCTCACAATAGCGATTCTGTAAACTTACTTTTCATAAACTAAATTGAAAATGGGTTCCGAAACGTTAGTAAATCACTGAAAATACTTGGATCAATCTGAAAAAAAAAATATAATTATAAGAAACTACGAGAGCCTTAACAAATATTCAATTCACAAGTTATGTATATAATATTATTTTTATTAATACTCGTATTTATTATTAATTAAACTATGATCAGTAGAGCGAGGGGAGAAGAAATTAATTTTCAGCTAATATTTTTACCCGAAGATACTATCAAGTATCATTCTTATCGTCGTTCAAAGCTCTCGTGTATACATGAACAATGTTCAGAAAGCAAAACTGAAAACTCATACAGTGTTACATAATAATAGTGGTATTAAACGATTAGACAAGTAAGGAGCAAACAATTTTTTCCCACCTAAAAGATTGGTTCTCTCATTGTTATTATTGTTATTAATGCCAAGTCGTTGTTTCGATTGCCTCTCGGCTCGTTTGCAGTGTTCACGAAATTGTTTCGATGGTACAACGTTCTTGTATTAATGATTAAACATTTATCATTGCTTACAAATGTGTATAATAATAATTAATAACATTGCGATACCGTTGCCGCTGCCGCCACCGCGCAATTTTCCATTGAAGTGAGAAAAAGCGATACGAATTCACCGAATACCAGTACTTACATCTCGTCTGTGATTTTTTCTAAACGCATATTATCGAATAGTAAAATGCAGAAACTCTCGCATTTGACTCGATATGTAATTTACGCATTGAAATCTGACGCAAGGACCGCAACACGGGTATCTATAATGTATTTTTCCACATAATATATTCTACTGTTTGGGCCATAAGTTAATAAGAAAAAATTTAGAACATTCGCTGCCATCTGTGGTCGA